ACCTAGGGACCTAGGTTTATATTTAAAATTTAATAGTGTTGGGTTAAGAATGTGAAAATATGTATCTTATACAAACATTTTGAAGTTGTTTAAGTTTATCATTATATAAAATTATTGACTTTTTCTGTAAAATAATAAAAAAAATAATTCTTAGTAGCAGCGCGTAGTCAGTAGTCAGGTAGGTGGTGGTGTTTCACTCCTGTGCCTCGGAAAACGATGTACGGCCTCCTGCGCTTGATTTCTCCCCGGTCACGTCGGGTTACCGTCCCATTGTACTATGAGAGTGAAGGAATAGAGAGTGCACCTGTGCATGCGCATACGCTCAGACACTATAATCTTGTCCTCCGCAGATAACAATTCTCTGTTGTAACAGGCCGCCGTGATCGAAATTCGATCTAAAGTAATTATTATTGTTTATTATTCAGTACTTCAAATTGCAGCCAATTGTGATTTTGGGTTTGCTTAAAGTACCACCCCTGGAGATCGAACTCAGGTTTATTTAATTATTTTATTTTCAAGGGAAACATACATAATTTTAGTCTAATAATAACACATATTAATCTTACATTTAACAATAAAGTTTCCACAGTTAAGTGACCATAGTTAAGGTTCTAGTATTGTATGTATATTTAGGTTATCGCTCTAAAGGTTATCAATTCTACAGTATTTTTTTAACGTAGGTAATGTTTAATTAATATAGGCAACCCTATATATAGTACAATATTTTAACAGTTGACTCATGATTTAAAGGCTGGCAATCATATTGTAAGTTATGAGATTTAACTCATTCATGACAATTGCTTTGTGTTAGTTATGTTGCCTCTTTTAGTACAATTACGTTAAACTGTCATGCCCCGAGTCTTTCTTGGAAACGACAACAAATCATATTATTATTGTTTACTTTAGTACATCAATGTAGTTAGTTATGCACCCACAAGACCATAGGGTTGTTAATGTTTGTACTTAGACGGGGCTGTATAAGCATTAGGCAGTATTCAGTAACTGTAGAGTCAGCGCTTTTGGTTGCATGAGATATCAGGCAGAGCTCATGGGAGCGGCCACTTCGTTTTGACACCGACTTACGTCAAGACGTATTAATTAAGTAATTAGAATTTTAATAATTGTAATTACAAATAAATTTTAAATAATTAAAAAAAAGTCATTTTACGTTACCGTAAACTTGACTGTCGCAGCCAGTAAAATCGTCACACTTCGGTGTTGCGTCTTTCGCAAGTTCGATATAAAAATCTATCGGAATCGGAGGTCCGCGGCGCGAAGAAAAAAACCCGAGACGATCTTCAAACCAAATCAAATTCGTCAAGGAAGCGGAGCTGATCCTGGACCATGAGAGCAGCTGGTGGCTGGTGAGTAGAACTTTTCACCATCCTTTCCACTACCTCGGCGTTCTGTTATCTTGAGATCGAACTTCTCTCATTTTAACGTATTCTGGTTAATAGTAAAAAAAATATCGTTATATAATTCAAGTTTTACCTATTTTAATAAGTACTATATACAAAAACTATAATTTCACAAAGAAATATTTTTATTAATCATATACATTTTATACTTAACATTTTGCGTGACATTTAGGTAGTTAGATTTATTTTATATTTTCTTATATTATTATTATTGTTTGTGTGTAATTATGGAGAATATTAGACTTATTCCTGGTGAAATAATTAAGATCATCACTTGGTTTGATGGCGACAAACGTCACTTAAATCTATTTTTAAGAAAGTGTGAATACGTTATAACTAAATTTAATGACTCACGGAAACATAATTTGTACGTGAAGAATACAATAACAAGTCGTCTTGCGATAAGACGGCTTGTGCATTACCGATAAGGTCCTTATCGGAAATGCAGCTGCATTAGTCGTTGAGCGCGATAATATTATAACGTGCTATGAGTTTAAGCAGTTATTAATTCAGCATTTTGGAGATGCACGAAGTGAAGAGTGTTAGAGAAGAGAGTAAATATCGAACTTGAGACCTTAAGAATTAAACCAGGAGAAAGTTATTTAGATTTTTGTATTCGAATCCAATCTATGAGATCACTTTTAATAGGTTAAGTTAAGCGGTTATCGGACTCAAATATGCGCAGTAGTAAAAAGGCTATTTATGAAAATAATTCATTAAACGTTTTCCTGTACAATTTACCGGAACATTTTGTTAGATTAGTACGTCTCAAAGCCCCAAATTCATTAGAGGATGCGCTCTATACTGTATTAGAAGTTAACTTCCATAGTCAGTACCAAACGAGAAACAAAATGTCTGGATCCAATCTCACATCTCATTCACAATCACATAACATATCACTATCATATAAATTCGGTAATAATTATAATAAAATAAAAACTAGTTTATAGTCAGATTAAAAAATAGTTATTATTAATATTTATAGTATATAATATTTATTATTAATAGTTATTAATAGGTATTATTTAATCATATTTAATGTCTGATTTATAAATAAAATTGAAACGTCTGTCTGTAATATTGAAATAACCGGTTTATTCGCATGGATAATTCCATTTTTAAAATTTTCATCTTTCTGTCTGTCTGGGCTTATCTTTTGAATGGCTGAATCGATTACGATGAAACTTTACGAATAAATAGAGAACAATACCAAAAGGGATCAAGGTTTCAAGGATCAAAAATTTCAAGTATTTTTTGTTAAAACGAAAAATAAAAGATGGTATTTGATTATCTTAAATCTATACGACGTTACATTAATAGATCCCATGCATATATTCCATATGTATAAAAGTATCTCTATATGTAAAAATCTATTGCAGTCCGTTAGTCTCGCTAAAACTAAAATACGGCTCGACTGGTTTTGATGAAATATTTCGTGTGTCCCGAGTTTTGTGTTTAAATGGGTCTCGACATGGTTTATATGTATTTACCAGTATTTACATTTGGACCCGGTAAGTGGTGCTATTGTTAAGATCCCGAAATCACCCTTGCGAAGCCACGACGGATCGGTAGCTTGGTTAATAAAATGTCTAGTCAGAATTGTATTCTAAAAAAAATTAAGAAAATGCAAGTTGATTATAAAATGTAAAACAGTTCAACATACCTATTTATTTAACTTAATTCTAAGCTACTTTATTTCTAAACTAACAGACCTTCCTTCTTTCTTCTGTTTAGCAACAGTTCACTTATAATTATTTGGTTAAGAGAAACATGTTGTGATTACAAGATGAGCAACCTATCATTGACTCCTGGGGTGCCTATCCACCTGTTGCCACTTTGTTTTAAGTGTTAATGAGCCGCAGTGGTTCCTAACATGTGGACTGAATGGTTGTATGTAACTCTATACAAAATTTCTATGAAGATAACATCAAGCATTTTTTTTAACATGCAGAATTTTTAAAGTATGTGTGATTCATTATCTATACCGTAGTAATATGTATATATAATAGTAATGAAAGGCTTTTTTATTTAAAAAAAGTCACCCTTCACTGAGATTTCTCCTAAAGGCGTTTAATATATTATGCCTACATCGTGGAGAGCTCCACAGAATATGATAAATTACACACGGACAAACACCCAGACCCAAAACAATTATTTTAGATATATAGTTCTTCCGCGCAGGATTCAAACCCCCGCAATGTAAACGCTTAGAAACTACGCTTCCGAGCCCTCAACGATCTTATAACGTATAATTTTGTATTATTAAAATAATATGACAAGATATTAATAATTGGCATTGACTGACGGTGGTTGCGCTTGCGGGCGTTCACCTTCGTTACCAGACCAACGGACATGCGGAAGTGTCATTAATGAACATATGAACAGATCAGTTCTTTGAAGTCCTTTTTTCGCGTAGCAATTTTTACAAATACAGTGCTTTAAGGTCGTTTTAGTGTCTTTTTTTTTTATAGGATAGAGTGACAAACGAGCACACAGTCCACCTGATGGTAAGTGGTTACTGTGACCCATAAATATCTACATTTATCCTCAATAAAGACTCAAGGTGCAGATGCGTTGTCACCCGTGAGGACTAAGATGGAATGCCTCTTTGCCAGTAAAAAGGGTCTCCGGTTCTCTACACTCACCATACGAAACTGTGAGAGCGTGGTCCTTCCCCGGTCGAGCCAACCCATTCGTGCTACAACCATAATATAGCTGCAGCATGGCTCTACCACGTAGACAGGTTTTGTGAAGTGGATGCCAAATTGAATAAAAATAGTTAATAACTATAATAAGTAATACGAAAACACAAATTTTATACCTAATAGAAATAGTACATCTGCTTTGTTCCATTTAACCAAACATTTAGGTACGTGTAGCGCAAAAATATATACATAAATTATTAAGTGAACAGTATTTAAATATGAAGCTCGGCCATTGTAATAGAGGGTAATGGATAATTAAGCATCTTTTCATTACAGATTAATTTACGATAAGCGAAAGGGATCGATCGTGCTAGTGGTAAACTCGTTGACATTGCAATACGGAACACATCGGATCGTAGCGATGAGCCAGTGGCTGTGAGGGCGCAGCCAGTTCACTGGTTCATTTCCCGTAGCGTGCCGGAGGTCGCGTCTCGCGTTATCCTATATAACGAGACTACGCCGCTAAAGTGATTACAACCTCACACAAGCTCACGCTGCCCACACCACCAGAATCAACGGTACCGACCGTATTGCCCAGTACGTAAAAAATAAAATATTTCAATCAAATCGGGTCTATACAGTGAAGGTCTAGTCGCGATTTCGTCATCGCTTCCACAGCCACGCGATCCAATTTTCTAATGTGATTAATGTAAATAATTGTCGTTTGCCTATAGTGTAGTGTAACGACATTGACAGTATTTGTCGAATACCACCACCGTACATTTGGTTTGCAGCGGGAGCGGCGGTTCTCTAGCGGCGTTCAAACGTCAGTCTGCGTGTGCACATCGCCGCTTGGCTACAGCGCGCTCGCCGCAGTGTTACTGTGATCAAATCTAGACCACCGGCAGTCTATTTACCACACACGTGCTTAGTCAATATGAACAGCTACATCACTATCGTAAGTTCAATCGAATTTTATTTTGTTGTTAAAGTAAATGTTTGAAGAAAAAAAACTATTCATTTTATATTTAAAATGTAACAAAAAGTTGTTAAAATTATATTTTAATTTTGGTTGCGAATTAAATCCAAATAGAATTTTAAATTAACCGTCTCAAATTCAAAACATTAAAATTTGATGGTTTACATATATGATTTGCGATTTATTTAGTATTTTTCTACCGACTTCAAAAAGGAGGAGGTACTCAATTCGACTGTATGTTTTTTTATGTGTGTCATAACTTTTTACTGGGTGAACCGATTTCGATGATTCTTTTATATATAAATAAATTATTATATAAATTATTAAGAATAACTCAAAAACTAATGGTCAGACCATGATCAAATTTATATGGGACAACATGTGAAGCACCAGCTTTCAAATAAAAGAAGAATCATTGAAATCAGTTCACCCAGAAAAAAGTTATGAGGTAACACACATAAAAAAACATACAGTCGAATTGAGTACCGGCTCCTTTTTGAAGTCGGTAGAAAACACCGCTGTATATTACACAATGTTTTCAGTTATTTTACTAGAAAGCTTCATGAATGTAGTAATCGTATATCCGTTGCACCGCTTGGCAAGCGGGTTGGCAAGCGCAGTTTTTATTGGTTGGAGTTGTTATCAGGTAGATGCTGCTGCCCATATCCGTATATATAATTACACTTAATTATAAAATATAGAAAAGCTTATAATAGATATAATTACATATTTTAATAATTATACTAGCTGTTCCCCGCGACTTCGCTCGCGTGTTAGTGTTTTTATGTTTTTGCGCGGAACCCTAATTCTTTTTCTAAAATAAAAGTAGCCTAAGTTACTCCTTATGAAATCAGCTACTTGCCAGTGAAAGTCCCGTCAAAATCGGTCTAGCCGTTTCGGAGATTAGCCGGAACAAACAGACAGACAGACAGACAGACAGACAGACAGACAGACAGACAGACAAAAATTTTAAAAATTGTGTTTTTGTTATAAGTATCGTATATACTTTCATATGCAATTAGTAAAAATCTGTAATTTTGACATTACAAACAGACACTTCAATTTTATTTATTTGTATAGAGTATAGATGTGTATAATAAATATAGTTGTAGCTCGTAAACAATAGTATTATGAAAAATGAAATCTTTGAGAATAAACATGTTTTACATGTTATTTGTAAGTTTTGAAATCCTATTTCAAAATGAAACATAAAATTAAGCGTATCCTTATGACTAAATACTTAAACTAATAAAAGTCTATTTGTCTGAAAATCTACTTTGAATTTGCTGATGGTATTTTGATTCCTAATCGAGGATTGATAGAGATTTTACAAGCCACAGCATCCATTACTATAATAGTGAACTGTGTGTTCGTTTTTCATCCTTGTAAAATTATATTATGAATAGTACAAAATATACATTTTGTAGCCAACCTGCCTGTCAACAATTGTAAGTATCTCTATGAGGCAATCTATGGGAGAGAACTATGTTCAGCAGTGGAATTTTTATAGGATGTATTTTATTTATTCTTTATTGCATTACTTAATATAAAAGAATACGAAGGCATACTCTATCAGTCAACCCATGGAGTGATGAGAATTTGACGTAGGTGTAGCAATATAGAATAACAACAATAAAAATGATAATTAACTACGTAATCATATAGCCCAACATTTTACTAATATATAAAATGAATAAACAATAGAAATATGTCATATTTACACATATATACAAATATATACGTATATAGATATCAATATATATATATATATAGTACATATAAATAACTATGAATATATACGTCTAACAATATAAATGACAAGGTTGATTCACGTAAGAAGCGTTTTCTTTAATAGATGATTACGCACCAACGGATTCTATCACGCAGAGAAACTCCGAGCGTAGTCCTGCCCATAGCTCGCTAAGTGACTTTAGACTTGCTAATACGGACATTTTTTTACTTTAACTCCACGTTACAAAAGAAATCCTAGTAGTGGTTACAATTAAGCCACTGGCTTACGATTAAGCCACTGGCACTTATAATTAGGGGCTGTGAGGCATGTGTAGTCTACTTTGATTGAAGTTGGTTGTAGGTGTCCACAGTGCAGTAGCCATTTACCGTCAGGTGGACTGTAAGTTCGTTTATCACTTAAGTTTAAAAAAAAACCGGCCAAGTACGAGTCGGACTCGCGCACCGAGGGTTCCGAACAAATCCGTAGGTAATAAGTTTAAAATTATTAATTTATAATATTTAATTATGCTTTTCGCAATTTTTCCTTTATCTGTGCTATAAAACGTTGCTTCGTACCAAATTTCAAGATTCTGAGTTCACGGGAAGTACCCTGTAAGTTTAGATTCCCTTGCGAATGTCGAAAATCTGGGGCATAAACGGCTGTATCTTTTGATTGCGTTGGCTTAGAACTTTGATTTTTTCACAGCTCCAAGGGACAGTAGACTTGAGTATTTGATTTGCTTTCATCTTGATACCTTCACGCGTTCCTGAGAAAAGGGTCTTGACAGACAGACAGACAGACAGACGGACAACAAAGTGATCCTATAAGGGTTCCGCTTTTTCCTTTTGAGGTACGGAACCCTAAAAACACAATACGTTACAAATTTACGAAAAATTATACATTAATGTCGGATTAGAAAGTTTTTGAAAGACACAGTTGTTGTTTTTTACAAATTACAAGATATAAAAATAGTGTTTAATTTACAGTAACGTGATTGCAATAAAATATTTACGAGAAGGAACGGATATCACTTAGTAAACAGTACGCAAATTGTGAAGTGGTTGTTACTCGTGACTTGGCGGTATAACTGGTTATATAGAACAAATTTCTTAATTTGACCGTATAATGTACTCGAGTGTAGTCATATTTCCATAAAAGTACTTACTTATTGCGGTATTGTTTCAAATGTGTTGGTACTTTGCTGTCTTGTCTTGTCTATGATTAAATGATTTGCTTTGTAAAAAAGAAACACATAGGGCAATCAAAATTTAATTATATTTTTAATCTGAAAACAAATTTAAATAAAAAAGTCGGAAGAACTTCATTCATTTTCACATAAATCCCTTATTTTTGACATAATTTACCTATCTTCATAAAATTTGATAGTTATTTCATATCCGAATAGTGTCAGTCTAATAAGACGAGATTTAATTTGCTGTAGAATGTGCCATTTAAAATTTTAAGGTATCACCCATGATTATATAAAATGAATGAAATGTATATTAGTGTTTTTGTACGAATTAAATTAATTTCATTTGTTTCAAGGGATGAAATTATTTAATCAAAAGTAGTCTAATATTAGTGCAGCAAAACTAAAAAGTTCGAATCCGCCTTTTGACTACTGTTGAAAATTGCTCTAGTACTAGCATTATTTCAACTGTGTTGAAGTGGTTATTGGAAACGTAAAACCGATAAATTAAAATTAAAAATTTTGTTCAACCGACTACAATATAAATTATTAAAAATAACTAAACTAACTATTGGCCAGACCTTTATCAAATTTATATGGGATCACATGAGAAGCACGAGCTTTCAAATAAAAAAAGAATCATCGAAATCGGTTTACTCAGAAAAAAGTTATCAGGTAACACACATAAGAAAAGAACATACAGTCGAATTGAGTACCTCTTTTTTTGTAGTCGGTAGAAAATAGCATTGCTAAGGCCCTTTAAAAATTGTTAGCATAACCGGATGTAAAAATTTTCCAGTTTTTAACCTTATATATAATTAGGTTAATATACACATAAATTGTAGATTATTTTATAAATTATTATCATTAAAATAACATGCATATATTAAAATATTTTTATGTTTGCGTGGTATTTTAATCTTGTTTATATAACACCGTTTTGTACAATGTTATAAGCAAATAAAACATAATTCAAATAATAAAATACAATTTATTATGTGTAACAAATAACACTTCTTATCCCATTTGTCAATACAGGATGTGAATTTCGTTTGTATCCGTTAAGCAACTGAAGCGTGATGGATTAAGAAATGCGAAGTAACCAGTTTTATGATTCACATGAACATGAAAAAATGACCATTGTAGGGCAAATTATTATATATTTGTTATTATATTTTTAATATTATATCATTTTAAATTAATTTTCTATTTTTGAAATAAATATAAATTTGTTGTTAAGCAAAATATGTAAGTATTTATTTTAATAATTAACAAATAAAATTTTAATTGAGAAATACATGACATGAAATAATGAAAATTTGATAGCATTTTACGTTTCAAATTGCGCCAATTCAAGGTCATGAGACAACCTAAAGAGTTTTTAATTGCATTCTTTTGTCTGAGTAAAATAGATAACACTTTTTAATTGCATGCATGCATGTTTTGTGTGAAGGTTAAATTGGTCATTATCTCTTTAAAATTAAACGTGTAAAGTTGTGTTCAATGTTCGTAGTTATTTCTTTTTCCAATTTTATTTGCTTTTTGCATTTATTAATTACAGGGTTAAAGGGAATATCGAAGTACATGTTTATTGAAGTAAAAAACAACACAACAATTTCAATAGTAGATGTTATTTCTTATGTTTGAAAATATTTATACGTGGTAGAGCCATGCTGCAGCTATATTAGTAGTATAGTTGTAGCACAAATGGGTCGGCTCGACCGGGGAAGGAACACGCTATCACAGACCACCAGCGTAAAATAGCAGTTTAACACTGCTGTGTTTCGTATGGTGAGTGTAGAGAGCCGGAGACCCCTTTTACTGGAAAAGAGGCGTTCCATCTGAGTCCTCACGGTTGACTACGCACCGCATTTTGATTCGCAAACGAGGATAAATGTAGATGTCTGTGTACCACAGCAACCACTCACCATCAGATGGACTGCCTGCTCGTTTGTCACACGATCGTATAAAAAATGTGTGTGTGTACGACGTCTCAAGATATACATACATCCATGAACAGTATGTGTCGGCTCCTAACTAATTTGAAAAAAATTCAAA